AGACCGGTGCTCGGGGGGGACACCAACTTGGTAAGTTGTTGCCTGGGTGTTTGCCTAGTTGTCACGAGGTGCCACGTGTCACAATTTCACTGGAGGGCCAAATCTGCCCACATCAGTTTCTGAGCAGCATTACCCATTCAAAACACAAATCAAGATTGTCTCTGCATGTTGCATACTACATAATCATGTCATGGGTGTGGATCTGTATGACTGAATCATGTCTGAATACGACCACGATGTTGCTGAAGGTGCAGAGATTGATGTAGATGATGGGGAAGTGGTAGATGATGTGGTTGATGATACTCAAGTATCTCAACCATCTCAACACATTAGTAGAAATGAGTCTGTCAGAGAAGGACACCGTCTTAAAAGGAGATAGCAGATCAAATGTGGGAGACTATCAGTTGGCTCGGTTCAAGCATCAACGTTAAATTTCTTTGATTAATCTTCACATGTATTTCTATGTTTGACTTCACAATGTACATGTACTCCTTATTTAACTATTAGCATTTTTTATTATCTTTCCTTTGACTGGTTTATGTTAAGAACACAACTATCTTGTGTTGGACATTATTGTTTTTAGTTGTACCATATGTGTGTGTGTGTTTTATTATTATGGATGATTGGAATGATGAAACTTGGTGTAAATTTGGTTGATACTGGTTGAAATACTGATATGAACTAGTTGGGGTGGCATGCTAGATGTATGAATTTTATTATGTTCACTGTGTAACTTGACTTATTGTTGCTTGGTTAGAGTTAGACATGGATACTCAGTCCAACGAAACCGATAGTAGATCTAATAAGGTGAACATGAGCTGGACAAGTGAGATGGATAACACACTGATTGAAACTCTGGTGGAGCAAGTCACCCTTGGACACAAGGTTGACAAGAGCTTTAAGGCTCTGGCATATATTGTAGTTGCAAGAGCCATAAGTCTGAAATATGAAGTGGAGTGCACACAGAACCACATTAGGAATCGAATGAAGACAATAAAGAAGAATTTCTCCACGATAACGAACATCATCAATTCTTGTGGTTTTTCCTGGAATGACATGACTAAAACCATCGATGCAGAGCCCCATATGTGGAATGAATACATCCAGGTAAACATCAATATGATATTCATCCTAAATATTACAATACACAAGTAAGATATGAACTTGTAGCAATTGATCCATTACAACTGAACAAGGACACCCAAAAGCAAAGCAAATTAGGGGAAAATCCATCCACAACTATGACCAACTGGCTATAGTATGTGGAAATGATCAAGTAACTAGCACTGGTGCATTCACTGCTGGGGAACTAAACAGGCGTGAGGCAGCATCAGTGAATGAAACCACTAGCATGCCGACAATGCAGGAGCCTGTATTTTATGAGGTTGAAGGAGACAATGTTGGTGACTCAACTCTTCAGGCTAGGCCACCTGAGGAGGGTAGCTCAACTGAGTGAAGGGGTCTTGGGAAGAGAAAGTCGTATGCAGCTGTAGTTGCTGAACAAGTACATGAGATCGCATCTAGCATTAAGTCATTGGCTTATGCAGTTGAGAAGGGAATCAGGTTGCTAAAGAAGGAAAATATTTATGATGATGTGCTGAGCTTAGGGGATCACAAMCCCTCCTTCCTCATAAGGGCCATCGATTATCTGACTGAGTCTGAAAATTGGGCAATAGCATTTTATGCCTTGGCTCCGGAATTGAGGAAGGCATGGTTAGATTTGAAGTTGGACCCACTTAACTGAAGTTACTTTGGTAACACCCCTTTTTTGGAGACACTAATGAATATGGTTTACTAACACCCCACTTTTTTTGTTATGCTTTATGGGTTGTTTCTTGGCTACATATTTATGTTTTGGAAAACTTGAACATTACTTAGATTGACATATGACTCAAACATGTCTTGACTGGCTTTGTCTTGACCAGTCGATAGAAACAATCCTTTTTTGCGGAAGACTTGAACATTACCCAAGTGGATGATTAAATGAAGATACTAATGGTTGAATATTTAGTTTGAACATGTGTTAATCTATTTGTTAAATACAAGTCTTCACTCAATATATGGGATTCACAAGTTCCCATGGGAATGTTGATTTGGCATAATTGGGTTGATGAATTTATATAGGGTTTTCCAACTTAAGATGAATGTATATTCTGACTCTTTGATTGATAGGTTTTAACTCAATATATGGGATTTAGAGGTTCCCATGTAGATAATTGATTTCGTTGAATTGATGACATTAAAGAGGTTTATTACTTGAGTTTATGAACTTAAATAGGTTGCTCAACTATTTGATTGAATGATTACTCAAATAGGTTTTCTTCATTGAAATTAGTATGGATGGATCTCTTGAAATTAGTACAGATGGAACTTAAATATGTTTGATTTCATATTGGATTTGGTGGTTGATTTATTTGTAAGTTCAATTATAGGTTAATAATATAGGGTTTGATGGAATATGTGCTTACGTGGTTATAGGTCTAAAATGGAAAAATCATATGTTGTGTTCAAAGGGCGCCAACCAGGAATTTATTTCACATGGGCAGAGTGCAATGCCCAAGTACACAAATTTAGCGGAGCAATTTTTTGTTTGTATATCACATATGAAGAGGTCGTATATCAATTGCAGCGATACCAAAGTAATATGCATCCACCACCCAAACAACCTACAATTGGTAACACCTCTAGGACCTACGTAGAGGATACTGGCATGGAGGTGTTGGCATTGAAAGAACCCCATTCACAATCAATAGTCACTTTTGTTTTGATAACAAGTTTGGTGGTTATGACAGTTTTATATTTACTTAAATGATGCCATAGGTATTTGCTTGCTTTGAAATGATCTTGGGAGTTACTTTTGATAGTACGGGTATGCTATATTAAAAATACACATGTTTTTAATATATCCATGTCAGCTTGCCACGTGGTAAGAATCAAACAGTATTATGCCATGTCATCCCGTAAATAGGAAAGGACTGTGTTGTGAAATTGGATATCATTTTTGCTTAAATCAAACATCCTGCAAAATTTTTACATCAACCAAACACTGAAAAGCAAATTCTATGGGATAATAGGTCTCGGCAAACAAACACAGACACCCTAATTGAGAAAATCAAATTTTCTTTTCTCATCCCATCCCTTCTCGGCAACTAAACGAGTCATAAATAAAAAAAAGAAAAGAAAAAACCACTTGGATATGTCAAAAGCACTGAAGCAGAGATGACTTCCGAACAAATCCGAGGGGTCACCCTTTCTTTCGGTTAAATTCATTGGCTCCAACTTGTACAATGTAGCAGTAGAACCAACCAAGGCCGCCCCATCTTGTCTGGTTGTGGATGTGATCCTCCTTCCATGGTTGGTTTCAAAATTTAATCCTAATGAAACATGTGAATATGAAAATTTGGAATAATGGGAGGATTCGATAAGAAAGGATAATGGGATATGTGAAATTTGACACCTCAGTGACAGCCGACAGGTACGGGTAATAAAGAAGACATGCTTGGTAGTTCACACGTCGCTATTTTTTAAAAGTGATAATTGAATGTGACAAATTGGTGCCCATGAACCCATCAACCCATGAGAGAGAGAGAGAAACAAGTTATTTTTTCGTCTGTGAGTTACTTTGGAATTTTGATGCTTTATTTGTTTTTGTTTTTAGTCTTGCATAAAGAAGGATCTTTAATTAATCACTTCAAACCTGCACAAAGATGCTTCTTACCCTTCATTGGTTGTTAAAGTTAGTTACAAATTAAACCCAATAGTCAAAAATCAAAATCAAGTGGAAGAGGAAAAAGGGTATGTGCACTTTATGATTCCCCATCACCAAAAAAACAAAAAAGTTTTGTGCCCACCAAGAAATCCAATTAATAAGAGGTCCCCCCTCCTGAACTTCAATGGTTTCCTAAGCAAGTAAGAGAAAAAAGGAACAGAGTGACAATACTGGGCAGAAAAGGGCCCAAAATGTTATGGTGTATTCTCTTTGACAACTTGTGGACATAATTTCTTCTTTCCCTCTCCTTATCCACATGATATTTGTCACAAATGTTGGATCAGAGTGATGTGTGAGTGTCTTTCTCTCACTTTTCATTTTCATTTTATCATTTAAATTCATATAGAGAGTAGACTCCATTAGGTCTTCCTATTAAAGGCCAATGAAACATTGTTTTTGCCTTGTAATGACACATTGAATATTTGGTTATTAATTGTTCACTTATTTATTTATTTTTTGCTTCTGCAATTAAACCCAAAAGTAATTAGAAGGGAAAAAAAAGGTTCTAAGCCACTTTTACAAGCTTATGAGCTTTCCCATTTCCCCAATTTTCGCATGTCCTAGGTATATGTTCTATAAATGTTTTACTCTGAGGTTGAGGTTGGTTTCATGCCTCAAATGGGCTCCACCCGTGGTTCAATCTGTTAGCATGGTACATACACAGCCATGTTATCACTTGAACCAAGTTGGCAAGTTGTAGTTTGTTGTATTAAATATTAAAAAAAAAGGAACATAGAATCATTCAAAATTGAGGTAGACGTGCATTTATCAATATATACTTCTCTTTTCAGGTTCCTTTCCGTGAGTTGGGTGGTTTGGTCAAGTCCACGGGTATTGTTAAGCCAAGATGGAGCATTTCTTGAGCTTAATTTGTTGGGTTACCTCCTTCTCACCCAAATAATCAAGAGACGACTCTGCAAGTAGATTGAGAAATGGGCCCAATTACAGTTTGTAACCAACCCTTTTGCCATCCATGTACGTCTCTTCTGCTGCTGGTTTCATTAATTTGTAGCGGAAGGATGCCACCTTTCATAAGTAACAAATGCTAAATTGGACCCAGAAAATGCAGAAAAACCCAATCTTAATGGCTAGAAGGAAAATGGCCAGAAGAAAGGGCATACTCGTAGGAGGGTACAGAGTGCCGATGAAGATAGCAAGAAAAAGAGAGGATCAGAGGATCACCTCCGGAAGAATAAATGACATGCATATGGCTTCAAGCAACTACGATCGATCAAAACAAGCTCATTATTGAGACATGGCCAACCTCATACTGATCGGGGGTGTATTCTTTCTGGGGCAGGAAAACTTATTAGGTCAGAAGGTGAAGGATACTGTAGCAATAACCAAGGTGGCATCTTCAACTCTCAAAGGCCAGAACCATAAGGTGAATGAGATAGAAATCATTATTAATCCTGGTTCTTATGGTATGCAAACAAGATTATACCATACCCATATTTGTTTGATAAGATAAAAGCTACCTCCATTAATGGTGTCATAGACATTTCTGTTCATTCAGACAAGAAAACTATTTTCTTTTGGAGCATTCTCATAGTACAAACAGTTACGTCTTCTCACTTCTGAGTGCAATGACACTAAAATGTGTTAGGACCCAGTTGATCATCATCTCTTCCAGTCTTCCTCCGTCTGAATTCAGAAAAAAAAAGGGGGGTTAACAGTGGCAGTGACGATATATGGCTCCACTCTGGGTAGGGTAGTCGCTAGACCACACTAATGGGTCCAATTAGGATTGGAGCTGGAGATGATTTACTTTGATCCATTGGACTTTGGACAGCAAGTGTGAGCTCTAGATCGGGTGAAGCATTTTGAACACCGGCGTTCGTTACAGTGGCAGCTCTAGGCTCGGAATCAAGCGATTCATTTGGACCAACTGGCGTTAGATGAAAGCATGAAGGTAACTTGAAGAAATTGGTGTCTTCACCACCGACTTCTGTACGTTGTTCTAACGCATTAAGGTCTAACAGAGGCAGCGTGGCGTCCTGGTGATGAACTTCACTGTAAGAAGCAGTTGCAATGTTCAGAGCTGGTGATAGAACGGGCAACAGTCCACATGCAACCGATGGATCCCTGGACTTAAAACTGGTAGAGTTAACGTGTTGATCCGTTACGTTGCTGCTTCCGACCTGCCAAAGGAAGAAGCGGAAGAGAGACAGAGCAATTAAGCTGTCTGTTTCATCATTAATTTATGACAGAGGATTGGATTGAATGGTAAGAATGAAGAGGAGTGGGGGAATGGTGGATATATAGACCATGTCAAAAAGGCTGGAACGACGCTTCTTCTTATTGAGGTTTGCCTGCCGGAGGAAGTACTTCTGGGCGTGGCTGGCCACCTGGGTTGGAGTTCTTGTAGTCACGAAGTTCCTAGAGATTCCTCTCCAGTCACCCTTTCCAAGCTTCTCGAGCCCAGCTAGAAATGTCCTGTGCTCTTCCTCTGTCCATGGGACTCCTAACCATCCGCATACAGCTATAAACACTCACATCACATCTCATCTCACCCAAAATAACAAACAACTAAGGGAAAAAAATCGATAATTTAAAGACAACTCTGATTACTAATGTTAGCAGAAGCTAGCTAATTAAATTCGAACAATACGTCATAAAGATGAGAGATTCTGAGTAAGAACTTAAATACAATGAGAAAAGCCTGTAAAAATAAAAAAGGGAATTCTCAACTATTACTGAGGATCCATGAGCAATAATTATAGTTCTTGACGAATTCTAAAAACTTGTCTAAGAAACCATCATCACACCAGCAACACCATCACCAAAAGGCTGTTATGAGAGAAAAACTGAAAAGCAGGAAAACTGAATAGCGAGAAAAATTCACCAGTCCCATTTACAATTTACAGGAAATCCTGTGGGAAAAGACGAATGAAGCCCAAAATCAAAGCATGACCAGGAAAAAAACAGAAAAAAACTTGGAGGGAAAAATTTCAGGCAGGAAAATCAATTCATAATTGGGGGATGAAAAGCAAAAATATAGAGAAGAAACAGTAAAGGATCCTCCTACCAGAACCAAAACTACTTTAACTGAACAAAAATGTGAAACAGCGCCTAGATAGAATTATATAATAATGACAGATCGATATTAAAGGAACGAAGGAGAAAAGAAGAACAAAAATGTGCTCACCCTTCTTTCTCTCTTGGGTTCTACCAATGAGACCATCAGACAGATACCCATTGGAGATTTTATCTGAATTCTCATCTGCGACAACCCGAGACGAAGACGACAAGGAAGAAGAAGAAGAAGATGATGCTGATGAAGTCGATGGCAAGCAATCCATGCTAAAACTTTTCTTCAAGGCAAGAGAAGAAGATGAAGACAAGTCAAGTTGCACACCGAAGAGTTTCAGACCACCACCAACGGCACTTGCTCTGTAATTGGTGCAAGTTCTTGAATTGTGACCCATGTTTCCGCAATGTGAGCATTTTCTGCCCATTTCCGCTCAGACAGAATTCAACTTCAAAGACCAACCACCGACACACACACCCTCAAAACGCAAACTCCAAACACATACACGCATACATATATACAGTAGAGAGAAAGAGAGGTCTGCATTAATAATTAGTCAGTTACTGATGATATATATGATGGTGTGTGGGGTGGAGAACCAAGGAAGCAGTTTATTGGATGGACATAGTTTCTGTTGGATATTTTCCCATCTTGGCTTTTTGTAACTAAACGAATTACAACCTACCGTACTCTCTCTCTCTCTCTCTCTCTCTCTCTCTGTGTGTGTATGTGTATCAGTAGTTTATCCTATACGGGTTATCATAGATGGCTACTAAATGTTGCAGGTGGGGACCTTGTGAAGTTGTGATTTATGTTCATTGGTGAATCATGAGTATCAGACTATGTGCTTTGAGTGCTTTCCTTATTTAGATTTGGGAGTTATCTTTTAATCAAACAAGAGATGACCAATCAAATAGTTGGGTTTCCTAATTGATGAGCATTTCAAAGGTTTTATACCCTGAACAGAGAGAGGGAGAGAGAGTTGTTGGAGGAGAAGATCCACCAATAGCTTGGAAGTGAGAGAGTTGTTGGAAGAAGAGAAGATCCACCAATAGATTGGAAGTGGGTAGCTGAATGGCTTAGAAAGGGGGGAAAAGAAAACACATCTGGGATCTAGAAAGTTGACGCTGATCAACCAACACCACTTTAATAGGAAATGTTGTAATAATACGTCAATATTTGCAGGGCTGACATAAGAAAATTGTTAAAACAGTCCGACTAACTTATTAGTAATTTTGAATCGTCTAGTTGTCCAAGTTTGTAGATCATTATGCGACAAAGTCGTAAGCAAGTGATGAATTCTCATCTATGATTCTATTAACTTATTGAAGTTTCACAAAATTCCTATCGTCTCTTTCTTTCTTTAATCCAAACTGTCATAAGCCACCAACTACTACTATTACTACTTGCATGTACGATCCCAATATCCAAACCAATTAATTTAAGGTGAAAGTACTTATTGGTGCATCAATCACACTGCGCAACAAATTAAAAATGTAAACTTAGTGATGAAACGATAAATCACAGCCAAACATCTTTAATGTTGTTAAAGTCTTTGATGTCAAATATAATATACCTTGTGAAATGTGAAATCTAAACAATGATATTAGTGAATGCACAGTCGTTGGACCTTGGGGTGAAAACCGTGAAATGCTTGATTTTGACCAGTAGTTAGAGAAATCCCCAGTCTCCTTTTTGTTTGAAAGCTCTTAGGCTAAAATGGTCTAGCTTAGCTATGGAATCTCGATTTTTGAAAATTTTCATTGAAATATTGGTGCAGCTTGGGATCTAGCTAGGGCCCACCCGTGAATTGAGCATTCTAAAATGGTGGCATAATGGCTCATGGCTGACTATAACATCTACTAATTAATAAAGTAGGCTAATTAAAGCCTCATCACCTTATCCATCCTCCCCTCCATTTTTAATCTTGTGAAATGAGTGTGAGAAATAAGTTACATTTTGACGTTTCTTTTATTTCTCTTTATGTAAGCCAATGACCTTGGCTTACTTCCATGATCATTAATTAATACTGAGATAGAATAATTAGGGAGCATGAAAGGATATTGTCTTCCCATCAAAATAAGCTTTTATAATATAAACCAACAGACAGATGGTGATTGAAATACCCCAATACAATATAATATATATATATATATATATATATATATATATATATATATAACCCATCCAAGGAGGGCAGAAGATCTGTCTGAGACTTCTTTCCTTAGTCCTTCTGATTATTAAAAAAATTATATATTTATATAATAATATTTTTATAAATAAAAATTCCTTTTCAGATAGGTGTATCTTAATTTCCCTACTTGCTTTGGATTACTTAATGGTATCATTATACCTGCTGTCTCCACCTTGTTAAGTAATGTTAGTTTGTGATTTCCTAATTCAATGCATTTGAAAGACAAGTTGGGAATATTTTATCAACTGCCACTCACTATTTGTATTATAAAAAATAATATGAAAACACTGTTTGCCTACTGCATCATATACCTATTTGGTAATTTTATGGAGTGGAATCTGTCCTAAACAAAGAAAAAAAAGAAGGGATCATGGTATCTGAAGAGATCTTCTACACTTGTTTGACTTGATTTTTAATTACTTCATATGTAAGTGCCTTCTGCTACTTAAACAAGTTTTTTTTTGGTAGCAACCATTAACACAAGTTGGGGTTTCCCTTTTCAAGCCATGCAATCCTCTATCTTCAGGAACAAAATCAGAGAAAATATGGATTCTACCTAAATGGCCGTTTACTCTTCATGTTCATTATATTGAAGAGAATTATTTAAGAGATTATCCAATGACCCTTCACAGAATTAACTCAACAAAAGGCTTTTCTAAAGTTAATGAAACTTTTCCCATTTCCTACCCTCTGATTTGGGGCTTCAACTTTGATGGAAAAGCAAGGACCACTAGGGATTTTTCTTTTTCTTCCATTACATCAGTGCTCTTACAAGGAGGAAACTAATACTTTGAGGGATCCGGTTGATCCGAGGTCTCGTTCTAAGTTTTTTGAAGTACAACAACGACTTTGTACTAGTAAAGTATTGAGTAAAAGCATCTGCTATGCACATGTGCAATTTATTATTAGACACATATAACATGGTATTTGGATTTAACTTTTATTACAGGGATAGGGATAGAAATCAAGGCAAATATCCATCCACTTTATATAAGCCTCCATAAGGGGGTAATGGGACTGGAATCCCCATCTTTGGGGGAACAGGAATATATCAGCCGAGCTACCCCTTAATATCCACTTTATATAGTACTAGCGTAAATACATCTATGAAAAGTAAAAATGAAGGTTCTATGATACTAACTATGTGATTTAACACAATCAAAGCAAATATCCACTGGTATTTTGTATGGATGGAAGAAAATATTAACCATATATGAACCCATTATAGTTAGATGTTTCTGTTGCATAAAAGAGTTCTTTTATGGTGAATATCTCGAATCCTCTACAGTTCTACTCGTTATACAGGGGCATGGTGTATCATTACTGTTGGGTGCAGCATCCCTGTATACCCATGGTGTTGGCACTGCTTGTGAGTTGGGTAGGCCTAACCAGGCCAGGCTGCTGGGGCTTGGTGGCTTGCAGTTTTGCATACCAATTAAACAATCTGAACCCAGATGAGAGATGAAAGCATGCATCCATTCATTATTCACAAACATTTGGACAATCCAACTCAACACTCCATATGCCACGTGTAAAGCGTATACGTCACCAATAAATACTACTCTACCTAAACATTTTGATGGATCATCCATTCATCCTTCTAGCTAAAACCGACAATCTTACCAGGTACGTGCCTTAAACTGTTGAAAACCACCAATTCGTAGGCCAGGTGGAACCCACTATACAAAGCGTCCAAGTCTTCCATGGATTACACACACAAAGAGAGAGAGAGAATTACCAAATATTCACAATTACTTACACCAATATATAAGCCCATTTGATAGAGAGTTGGAACTGTGAAGGACAAGAGATTTTTTTTTTCTATGTATATATTAATATATAATATTGTCCTGTCCTCCACACAATAAATAATTAGTTTAATAATATTGAGGCAATGCAGCAAGAAATGATTCTGCAAACGCCAATAACATTCTCTTTCTTTCTGTTTTCTTGATTAAAAAAAAAAAAGAACGAAGGTGCTCCCCTCCAGAGTCCAGACAGTAGTACGTACTGAGACCCGTGAAAAGAAAGCATAGGACAAGGTTTTTTCAGGAGTCCCACCATGTCTGTGGAGCGAAGGAAACCCAAGAGTTGCATAAACTTTACCTAATTCCCCTCCCACCCGGCCGTTTAAGTGTGTTGTTTTTAATTTGCCAATTTCAAAGCCTGAATGCATCCACAGAAAAAGGCAGAAGATTGCAATCAGTATTAGCTAGTGAATTCCAAGTGTTTGTTGATCTCGTTTTCTTTATTCTATATATGAAGATGCCATTAATCATTAAAAAGTAGGGCTGAAGTCTGGACATGGTAGCAGAAACCCAATAGAAGTTTTGAGACTAAAGTAAAGTTGAGAATTGGCAGACAATTAAGTTCATACTTGCAAAGCCACAACCACAACCTCAACCACTAGTAAATTTGCACATTATTATGTCACCAGAGCTGAGTCAAAGCACACAAGTAGAGTTACATCATAACCTATTTTGTTACTTTGGTGGTAGAAGAATGTTGCAGATCATCTATTAAGGTATATGAAAATTGTTTTTTGTCTTTTATTTTAATGTTTTATTTATCTCTTTAATTTTGCCTCTCCTTTTGTGCAGCAGACAAGCAAAAGAGACCATAGTTTCTGTTTAACTTAGTTAAGACTGACTCACTCTCTCTCTCTCTCTCTCTCTCTCTCTCTCTTTATAGTATAGCCCCCATAGTGTCAACTCTATCAAGTATAGTCTATAGAACACTTCTCTTACTACAATTCTCTCAATGTAGTAAAACAAAGGGCCAAAACAGCTGAGGGGGAGAATGTAGATTGATTCCCTAATACTAAAAAATGTTGACTTGGAGACTTTGAGCTGTGGAATTTTCATGGGTACATCGAACTTCACAGTTAGAATATATAAATAAAGCCAATCTGTATCCGAATCATCTTGTCCACAGGAGTAGCTACAATATTATTGCTCTAGAGCTTCCTCAGTCCATCTTATCAAATCCTCATGATTATCAAGAGATTTCAATCCAAGGGTTTTAGAATAAGAGCCAGTATTTTGCTCCTAAGCTAGTGAATGAGACAATTTATGATTCTAACAAATAGGGAGGTGCATCCATCTTCTTGAGAAAGATGAAAAGCTGAATCTCATCCCACTACACAATTTGCAATAGTGTATTGCAGATACTGTGTTGTCAGCTTTAAGTCCCTTAATCACAAGGCACCCAATAACAGACAATAACAAAAGAAAGATAATTGGATGATTGTTGGATCGTTCTTCCAGAAGAAAAAACTAATAAAGATAATGGCTTCTTTATATGAAGCCATAAAAAAAGTATTTTTTTGTTGTCTGTTCCAATCAGAAGTTGCTAACACAATCAGCTAGTTCTGGTCAAATATGGTGACTCTTCTTAGAGCTTAGAAAATAGAGAGATTGCACTACTTCAGTAGTGGTTACAAAACAGATTTAAAAGATATAAATGAAGAGATATCCTAACCATATCTGATCAAGATAAGATCCCAATCTAAACTACTAATATAAATCCTAATCTAGTTGAGATAATATAATGCACCCAAGTACACTTTATTGAATTGATATCCTAACAACTCTAATATGCATCTATTGGGCAAGTAAAGGAATGTAGGTTATGAATGGAGTTTTCTGGGTTTGATGGGGTCAATCAAAACTTAGACAAATTCAGAAACAAAAGCTGGGAAGCTGTTTCCAGAGAAATTTTACTTAGCGATAAGAAGCTATACAGACCTAGTATTCACCCACATCCTATAGGGTGTGGGGGTAATAGGTCCAAAACCAACACCACTATTAATCAGTTCCAACTCGATAGGACCTCTGTTTGGATGAAATTTTCCTTTTGAGCTTTGGGCTGTGGAAAATTAAAAACGAACCAAAAGTGTTTTGACTTTTGAGTGTTTTGTAAGAATTTCTTTTAAAAACATAACAATTTAAAGTCAAAATATTTTTAAGCCCCCAAAACCTAAAATTGGGGCTTTAAAAAATAAAAAAGTACAAATCCTGAAATCCTAAAGCTAATCCAAATACAACCTAATATGATGAATTTCATACTAGTGAATGTTGAATGTTATATAAAACCCAATATATTATCCAAATTCTAGTTCGGGATGGGTTTGGTACTGACGCAATCGTTATTGGGTATCATAAATGGGACCCAGATTCAACCATCTGATTTAGAATCGCAGATCTGGGCTTATAATTCAAGGCGTAGGTCTTTATCAGGGCAGCCAGCCCACACCCCTGTACTAGGCCCACACATACGATGGAGGGTCCAAATCTGGGCTTCAAAATCTCAAGGCCTAGTAGACCAAGCCTGGTATGTATACATATGCAATATATTATATTATATTATACTAAAATATGTAACGTTAGATCTTAGGCTGCATTTGGCATTCCTTACTTTAAGGACTTGTCTCCTTTTTACTCTTAAAAGTTAAAATGCCCCTTTGAATACCAATGTCCCTATGATGGGCCAGCCCGGTTCATTGACTGGTGAACCTATGAAGATACTCAGGACATTGCCATTATACCGCATTCAAACACAGCCCGGCCCATGATGATCCCCGCATGTGATCCTATTCAACTGGGCCTGTGCATTCAACCTGTACTCTTGAGTGGATTTTAGATTGGGCGATTTCTTATAAGGGTTTTCTAAGGTCTCTCTCTCTCTCTCTCCAGTCTTACAGCAGTGTCCAGACTCCAGATCACTTGAAGTTGTATGGAACTAGAGATTGGTGAGCCACTCACCCAGATTCAGAAAACTTGGATGTGGTCATACAAGATCATTTCATGCTCCTAAGTCCTATCTCTGGAAGATCTGGGACAGTTTCCCATGTTGGGTTGGGAATATAAATTGTTCTAAGCACTTGATCAACTTAAGGCTCAGTTTGGAAGGAGTACAAATGCAAATATGTAGAATGCAAAACCTTATATTTTGTATTATTTCGTATGCATTTATACTCTTTCCAAAATGAGCCTAAATGGCTGTTAAGATTTTGGGGGTGGTCGACAACATGGTTGGTTTTGTTTTTGAAAACAAAAACAGCTGCTACATCGGCAAAATTATATTGTTTTTGTTGATATGGCAGTTGTTTTTTACTTTTTGTTTTTCAAAAATAAAACCATTCCACGTAGGTTCCCCACATCTTAATGGAAATATTTTTATTTCTACTCAGATACGTTGCTGTATCTTCTCTCTAGGACTCTGGGTGTTCTGTTCCTCGTTATCAGATCATCTCTCATCACACATCAATACTTTGGATACTTGTTATAATCATCCTGATGTCAACTAAAACGACCTTTTGAGGGGGTATTTGCCAACTGGAAATAAAAGGTCAGCAGAAAAAGAGTGATAATGGCATCCAGAGTGAATTTGATTTGCCAATTCCAAAAGGGGCAGAATATTCGCAATTTGGAGAAAGGATTTTTTGCTGATTTTGAATAATTCTGATCTTAGAAATCACTGAGATCCATGGTTGTTCATGTGGCGAACAGCCCCTAAAACTAAAAGACTGTTGCATTTTTATCTAGTTAATACCTTCACAAAGATTTAATGTAGTCTTTCAAAAAAAAAAAAAAACAAAAAAACAAAGATTTAATGTAGTTAAAATTTTCTTTTGATTTACAGGGAATATGAAACTATTGTAGAATGATTCCGTATCTCCTATTGTAGAAAGACGCCAACTAACCATCTGAAACTCCCCATCTCCTACCCACATGGTTTTATCACATTCCTACCCCCATGAATGAAACGAATTGTTCCCAATGCACGCTGTATTGTCTTGTAGGTAGGGATTTGGGAACAGTTGCTTGAAGCCCATCTGATCAATTCTTTATGCAGTACAGATATTGGGATCTTACGGTTGAGTTTGGTTTGTGAAATAATTCTTAATTGCCAGCATCATTAGTCAGAGCCCATTAGTCATGACTCATGACTCATGCTCAACTCAAATGGTTACTAAGAAAATTTTACATGTAACCTAAAGAATCCATCTATCCTTCGGAGATTTGTTCATCCAATCTACCTAATTGCTGGTCCTTGTGAAGATGAAGCCATGAAGAGATAAAAGAGATCAAGTGGCGCCTTTGTATGAACATGGGGCTCATTTGGTTCTCTTCCCCAGACTCCCAGTTTGTCTTATGTCGGTCCCCTATTCTAGCACAAAAAAAAAAAAAAAAAAAAAAAACTATCAGAACCCAGTCTCGACCATCTTTAATCGTTGATCTTGTACATTTTAGTTTTGGTTCAGCATCAGCAAAGGTTCAGATTCCTGTTTTGTTTATCTTTCCCCTCCCGGACTTTTATAAAAGAAAACGGAACTAGAATCTACTGGTAATATTGGGGGGATAAGATCGGCAACATCCCTCTAAAAACTGGCTCTTGATTCATTACATGACATCAACCTTAACCAACATTGGTTAAGATCGGAACTAGAATCTACTTGTGACAGTTCCCTTGATACCTCAAATGAATTACAAACTACAATTTCCCTACTACTATACAGGCATTGGATAAGGTAAAAAGCAGTAAGACCCAAAAAAAGGAAGATGAAAAACCAAAATACAAGCATTGTGCCTTATAGATCATCCTCGCATGAGGTTCTTGTCTTGTCCCTCTCCCAGTAAGCAGACCTTAGTGCATCGTAGGAGAATTTACCTGACACTTCTGATACATCATTCGACATTGGACCACTATAAGATTGGTGGAGTTGCTGCTGCTCCGTCCAAATTCTTCCACTCCGGCTTCCCACATCATACCCAGGTGTAGACATGTAATTGGAGTCCATGACCATGTCACCCTCCAAGATGCGAAGGACCTTTTTGAAGGACACACAAGAAAAATATAAGCTTTGGCTAAATTGCAGTTAATAGCAATATAAGAAATGGCATTAAGGCAGGTATGAGGATCTAGTATATCCATTGCAAATATCCCAAGGAAAAACCGCAAAATTGTTGGCTGCAACCTTTCTCCATGTGAAAATACATTCATTTTCGGAGGACGAGGTTTAATCTTTTCAACTTTAATAAACTAGCCAAGTTGGATGAGGTCTGGTTAATTAATATGGAGCAGAATGGGCATAATTATTGATGACACTGTTCTATGAAATTTGCAGCAAATACCAACTCATTGAAGGATGACATGACAGCCAGTTGCTCTTTTTTTACCTGAGACATACGGGGCCTTGAATGGGGATCCCGTCGGATGCACAAGGATGCGGCATGCAGCATGCACAAGACCTCCTGTTCTGAATAGCGGTTTCCCAAGCGTGGGTCCACCAACTCATCAATTGCATATTCTTCCAGTAAAGGTCGTGCCTGCTCCAAATTTTTAACATGAGCAGCAATAAAAAATCATCATTTGTATCAAGGGACAAGATGAAATGGGAGTTTTCTCTTATGTGAATTTTACTTGAGGCCATCCTAATTCTTAGTCCATCAATGTGCATGTTAAACTAGATGTATCTGCATCGTACCCATTCAGTAAGGCACTGCTGGCCCTTAGGCCGGTTGATATCAACTGCTTTCCGTCCTGTGACAAGCTCTATCAATACTACTCCAAAGGAATATACGTCAGCTTTTTCTGTAATTTGACCACTTTGAGCATATTCTGGAGCCAAATACCTAGACAGGCAAAATAGGTGACTCAGTTTCTCCATATGTCAACAGCAAAATTTAGAACTTGATCCCTCTTAAGTTACCCGAATGTTCCAATTACTCTTGTTTCCACACCCATGTCTCCATCAGGCTGCCATCTAGCCAGGCCAAAATCTCCAACCTGAACAAACAAAAGATTGTGTCACATCAAATCCTACTGTTACAGGTGTACAAGAAAAAACACCTCATGAACCAGCAAACATAGAAAAGAAAAACAATGTGTTCTAACATATGTAAATGTGGGAAAACATTGAGAATAAAATGTGCTTTGATATACCTCTATATGCTTTCATTCCCCTGCAAGTATTTATATTCAATGCTTCTGATATTTAGATCTTATTAACCAATCAAGTTGATCACCAAGAGAAATGGATCAAGTGCTATTTGGATGATTTTTCATTTACAATTTACCATCCAAGAGCATCCTACAAACTCATGTACCTCCAATTGATTAAGAGGATGAAACCTTGATCTTAGTCAATGGAGTATTAATGTGACTGTAAATAATTTATTGATAGATTGGGTTTAAGGGCATTTGTGGACCTTTTTGTACATTTCTATACACAACACAAGTTTATGCATTAGTAACTTATTCTGATTACTTCTCAAAAAAGTGAAGTGAGATCCATCCAATGATGGGTCCAGATTCTCTGAGTAAAGGCTTGTGGAAAGTTATGAGCAAGGATCAAAATATCAAAACACCTGATACCCAAAGTTGGGCATCGGTGTGTACAGATATGAATGAAACTCTCCATTTTTGTTACTGTTTTTTATTTTATAACAATTAGAGGGATGCCTTATATCATCCCAAGGTTTTAAAAGTTTTAAAATATGTTTGTACTGGTGTATCCATGTGTATCTGGGTGCACTGATACACACATTATACACCCGATACTTTGACAAATAATCAGAAAAAGCTACTAATGCTTGGGCTTATCATATTGATATGTTGATCCTTGGTTATGAAGGAGCAAATTAAGAAAGAGAGGGCGTCTTGCCCTCCTTTTGATCTGTGGGTAGTTTCAGGCTCTTTTTGTACATGAGTTCAGGGCGCCTTGCCCTCCTTTCGATCATTAATACAATACTTTTCACACTGCTTATCAAAAAAAGAAAGAAAGAAAGAAAGAAAGAAAAAGAAAGAGAGGGATGGGAATTTACAATGAAATACAATGAACTAGTCATTGAGTCCAGACCCTGCCAGCTTCTTGTCAAATAAGCTTCTTAAAGGAGGTGAGAAGGGGGAACCAATAAAAAAGAGTGGAGAGAAGGGTTTAGAAAGACTTATTTTCCACTTGATATCTTTCTGTTCCAAACTAGAAAAGTATGTCCTATACAGTCTAACATCCAGGGTAGTCTTCTAAAATTACAATAGCAAGTACATTTTTCAAAAGACAATGTGTTGGTTTAGAATGGGTGATAAAAGAATTGCAAGGAACACTCAAGCATTGAAATAAGTCAATGAAGAAGTTGTGTCATACCAGTGGCTCAAAATCATGGGTGATTAGGATATTGTTTGGCCGCATATCACGATGGACAATACAACCTACTCTACATTCTTCATGAAGGTATCGCAATCCTCTTGCAGCTCCCACAGCAATTTTTTGTCGTGCAGACCATTCTAATGGATCTCGATTACGTCCTGCAAATTTGCAAAAACTCTTGTTGATGACTTTCTAGAATACAGTAAAAAGCACAGCTTTTTAAATGCAAAAATATCCTTAATACATAAACATACTTACCAGGTTCTATGGGAAAGAGATTTGTAATTTTATATGTTTCAATTTTAAAGTTAAAGGATAGCAGAGAGGTTTGATCATCAAAATGGCAGCGCAGAATAGGACCAGCACTACATATACCACTACCTACATGGTTCAGATAGGGGCTGGATAATGATGTCAATGCCATAAATAACAACTTGAAGGAAGATGAAAGTAACAGAAGTCATTTTTGTTAATTCCCTGAATATTAAATATAGGAGACACTTTTTCTGGTAAGCAAATTAGGGGTCATTGTTTGCTGCGGTGATTAAACCTTGGGCTGTCAAGAATGAGAACATGGGTTTGAGTCTGAGAATACCCACTTTGTGCCAAAATGCCAAAGCTTAGGTTATGATAATGTTTTAAATATATCAAACTTCATATAAGAATGAAAATCTAAAGCACCTTGTCATCATCTGCTTTCTACCAAAGGAGTTAATTCTGCCAATTATGATATTTGTAGTTCCCCTAGATAATGGGCTCTGTTTGGAAGTAGAAGAAGAGGAAGCAAAATAGGTCCAATAGGAGTGTAAATAGATCAAATTCAAATCAAATCAAGCAATATTTGAATTCAAATTCAACTAAACATTCAAATAGTCAATTCGATTAGGTTATGTTGAATCTCAAATTCAAAGACCCATTGCAGATGTGCCTTAGTTTTAAAATATTTTAGAATGAAACACATGGGAATAATTACCATAAAGATGAGAATCCAAAGACCCATTGCAGATGTATTCATAGACCAGCAACCTTCTTCTGTCCTCAACACAGAACCCAATTAACATCACAACATTACGATGCTGTGCACAGCTAAGAACCTCTACTTCTGAGCAAAATTCAAGATCCCCCTGAGAACTAGCAAGTTTGTGTTGTTTGACTGCCACTGCCTGGCCATCTGGTAGAACCCCCCTGTGAACCGATCCAAACCCACCTTCAGCCAAGAAATTTGCCTGTGAAAATCCACCTGTAGCAAGTTCCAGCTCAGCATAGCTGAACCACCTCGGAGGTTTTCCAAATACTGGTGCTTTGTGCTGACATATTGAACACAATGGAGGTGGACCTGGAGGTGCGCTTCTGGGTAATGAAATGGCCTCTCTAACATTTCCACTGAAGTCCAATTCATGCCTATAATTCAGCATTCCAATTCCAGCTTCTCGATCAAGTTTAGAGAATTTCTCCAATAAGGCTTTGGATGTAGAAGACTGAGCTTTATCATTCAATCTTTGTGAGTTTTCCTCGCTATGTTTTGAGGACTGGCGCCCAGAAGTAAGAAGTACATCCATCCATGGATGGAAGCCTAAACTTGTTGAAGGAGAGCTTGGGTTTTCATTGTCTGTGTCAGAATTAGAGTCTTCTGGATTTCGGTGCTCCTTTGTAATTAAGGATTCTTCTTTTTTCAAATCACCATTTATTCCAGATATGAAAAATGGAGAAGTTCCTGGGTCTGAGCTTGACACAGAAGATGTTCCGGCTTCAGTTGCAGTAAATGGTGTCCCTAGCTCTGGACTACTAGTTGGAGTCACAACTGGGCCTCGGATGGAACTCAAAGGATCACTGTTGTTTTTTGGATGTTTTTTGGATGCCTCTTCTAACCCAGGGGGTAGCGTGGATGGCGCTTCAGTTTCTTTCTTAGGTGAGCCAACCAAATTCAATCGAAGAACTTTTGGCTGGGATCGTTTCATGACCACAATATTGCATTGCAGCTCTTCCATGCAGCGTTTCTCCTCAAGTTTCAGCTGTCTGCACATGGAAAGGTTGAATAAGAGGCAATAAAACCACATCATATCACATCATAAACCAATGTACCCAAACAAATAACACCGTTTTGTACTATGTTATTATTTATTACTTGTCCAGTACAACCCAGTTTGCTTGAACTCTCTTTGCTTCAGCAGCCACTGCCCCACATGGCGATCCAGAAACGATCTTTATCTTTACATTGATCTGGCAGAGGAAAGAAGGATAGAATCAAATCAACAGTCAAGAGAGAAGATGGAAAGCATAGAATGTAGGAGAACAAAGTTGGGTACTCACGTTGTTTGGATCATAAACATCGTGGAGCTGAAGCATCATTTGGGAGCAGGAATCAGTAATATCAGACTTCTGCTCTGAACTTGTCCCTGAGTGAGATTTCCGGTGACCATTGGCACAATCTCCAGAAAATCTTGGAAAACCCCATAGTCTTCTACCTGAAAAACAGAATATAAGCATACTATTGCCCATCCGTTTCATTTTCTGGAATATTAATAAAGTTGGGCACATAGAAGAAAAAGAAAGATAAAAATTTTAATAGAAAATCAGATATTGGCAAAAAAAAAGGCCCTCCTGAACAACTGATCTTTTTGAGTTCCATGATCCATTACGAGAAAGTCAGGATCTTGGACTTGGCACTCAAAATTCGGCCAGACGTGGTTGAGTTACCTTCTTGGCCGAGCCCAAGATTTCAAAATTACCCAAGACGACATCGTCATGCCTACACAGATGTGGCGTAGTATCAAGTGTTTGACATTCCCATAGTAAAGTCAATTTCAAAGTTGACCAAAAGAACTAAACTCCGAATCGCCAAGGCAGAAACAGAGCACAAACTCTGGAAATTTCTGTCATTACAGTTGTAAGTCCGTGGCTATTGATAAGAACAAAAGATGTTAATAAAACAACTCGTGGCAGATCAGCCAGTTCAAATACCCATTTTAGCAACGAGCCTTTACTTAACAAAATTGCTCAGTAGATGAATCCGGAGGAGAGATTGCGGGATGAAAGAACGATTCGAGAAAGAAGAAGAAAAAAACAAGAGATAAGGAATGGTACCCGAGCTATGACCAGGGCCGACCACCAGTAGCGTTATACAGTCTCCAGGTTGAACAACATGAGTCAAGGCCCAAACGAGCGCACCCCTTGGGATTTCCTTGGATGCCTTGACGGCAACGACAACCTTCTCAGCAACATCCGATCCCTTGTCTTGCTTCCCATGTTTCTGTTGTATACTCATCCTAAGTTGCAATTTCAATCCTTGTGTTCAGCAGATGCACTCCATCAGACCAATCTACAATGTCTTTTCCAATAATACCAATCACGGGTGACTAGAGGCTTTGAACTTAAGCAGATAAAATGGCAAGAAAAGCAACGACGAACGGCCCCTCAAGATGCTTTTACAGAAACGAGCTCTAAATTGAAAGACCTCCACCCTAGTCTTCCCTTTGATAACCCCTTTTGTGAAACCCTAAAAAGGTCAGCAGATTGAACTCTTTAAAGTTTAAACTTTAAATCAATCTTTATTTTCTTCTCTTCCCTTTCCCTTATTGATCCTCAGAAAATCTTGCATGCATATTCCAGATATGGAAACAACGATCTTAAGTGGATCTTCCCTTGAGGACCTTATAAAACCAAAGATTTTGAACAGAAAAACAAGAGAGTTGCAGCTAAACCACCCCTGCTCAACTTCAATGGAGTAAATAGCTCAGAAGCTCTACATGAAAAGACGTCAGAAGTAGAACAACTGTTTCTCATAAAATGTACCGTGTACTGGACGTGGAAACGACACCAGCTAAAGCAGATCTCACTGTCTACCACAGTAGCTACGTCTCATTCGAACCTTCAAATCACAGAGTCAACCCGTGAAACAAACAGAGCTTCAATAGCGTGGTAGAAGAAAAGAGCTGGTTTCCGATAGAAAAGAAAAATAAGGAAACGACGATCACAGTATTCATCTACAGGATTTCAACTTGGCATCATCATGTCTAATCAAGACGATAAAACCATCGAAACGACGCGGTAAATACTTTGCTCAACATGCTTACTTGTAAGCCGCGATTCTAATCGACAAAACCGCTCTGCACGCCTAACGTCTGAAGTGTCACGATTCACGACCAATTAACTATAAAACTAAACAACTCGTTTCAGTCCGAGAACCTTAAACAGATTCACTCGAGAACCTCCAAATTGAACATCACCATCTGGACAGAGCAAGAAGCTTGAACTGAGAATCTTATTTAGTTTACCATTCGAATCAGAACCACGAAAGACCTTCCAATTGGCAGAATGGAGAAATTTCCAACAGTGAAAGGACCCTGAAATCTCCGAATCTGAAACTCTAACAGCGCAGGAGCTCGATTCTCGCAATGAAAGCACCGCACCACGTCAGTTAAATCTATCCGCTACAACCATCGGAAAAATCAGATTAGTCGGAAGTAGACCACATTTCTCTGCAAGCATCTGAACTAGAAGCCTTGGATTTCAAGGCCTTGGAAGACAAGCGAAATTGATCCAAAAAAGAAATCAAAAGCCAGCTCAGTCCAGACTTGTTATGATCGAAATTTCTTCCTCGCTCCTTTCACATCAAACAGCACAAATACGCCAACAGATACGGAGATAAATGGAGGGAAAAAACGCGAGAGAGAGAGAGAGAGAGAGAGAGAGAGAGTTCAACTACCTCACCTATTGGTAAACTACTGGTAAATAGTAATACAACGAAATAATGAAAACAAAAATCAAAGAAAAGATTAAAACAAGTAAAAATCTCTTCCCTCCTCCACACTCAAAAAGGACTCTGCAACTGCGAAACTCATCTCAGTCATCTGCGTGCCTCAGCCTGAAACTTGAAGGATTTACTGCAAACAGGAAACAGCCATCGCGAGTATTCAAAACAACCTCACGTGTGGTTGATTCTGGTGAGTAGATACAGTCAGGTTGGAATTATTAAAGTGTGAGTAGATTCCAATCCAGTGGGTCTGGTTTCATATTATGGTATCTAGATTCCAGATGAGATGGAGGTCAGCATCGTAAATAAGAAGTAAATCCGAGGGCTAATATTCCCGTGGGTTCTGGCTCCCTGTTCGATTTTTGAACTGCCAGCCATAAAAATCGTGACATTAACCACCTGCTCAGGTTACCAGGGCCATTCAATTCAAAGTCCCCCCCCCAAGCCATGGACCGCAGTTACTGCTATCATCTCTCTCTCTCTTTCTCTCTCGTATTCCGCTATAGCCCCAGGGCCCAGGGCGGGGCCCTCTCGCCGTTATCGATCTCCGTCGAGTTAGCTGACCGGCTGACAACCACGGAAAGCAGCAGCCAGTGCCTAAGACGTAAGCGTAAGGGCCAAAGCTATCAGATATTCAGAGCCAGACGACAACGGACGTCTTCGGACAGTTCACTAACGGCGACGTCACCCTGAGACGGGCCTGAGCTGAGCAACTCCCTCCATGTGTAAAGTTACGTAAACATAATTAATTCACCTGATCCGAGCTGCGTGGGTCTGCCTCGGCGACGGTGACTCAACGGCGAAGCTTTGACGGCTGAGGTTTCCACTGTCCGGTTTTTGGCGCCATCCGCGGATCGTGTCCCCACTCCCAAAGAGTTCGAAGCTCCGAAAGAATTGATTATGTGTCTCGAGGCGCAATAAGATAGCGTGAGACACATTGTTTGTCTCTCTTTGAATTTACGTTAACGAGAAATCAAGACTATCAAGTCATCATCGATGACCTACTATCACGTATTAATTAATTAATTAATTAGTATGCAATATATGCACGCGGAAAAGGCTGTTTTGTCTGTTTCTTTGAATAAGTAATAGATTAATAATCCAACGACCCGGAATTTTATGGGTTAATTAATCAACATTAATGGTATGGACTATTGAATGAGGGTGGGCCCGATCGTTGAAGGGAGTGGCTGGGATTGCATTGCATGTGCAAACTCACTGGATGATGTTGATTGCATTTGCATGTGTAGGTAGTAGTATGTTGTGGGATGGATTTGATGAGTATGATGTGGAATTGGGAGTTTAGTGTTAATTTGGTTGTAGGAGTAATGATGGACCGGTCCAAAAGCATCTATGCATGTGGGTAACAGTAGGAACCGGCCAAAAGCATGATTATGTTGCAGAACCGGCCGAGAATTGTCCTTGTTCTTTACCCAAATTTCTCAGCGTAGGAAACTTTTTTTGTTCGAAGAGTAGCCATCAAAACAACTTGTTTGATAAAGGGTGGATGGAGATAAATCCAGAAGGATAATGATGACGATGATGATGTACCAAATCACATCAGAACGTCAAGCAAAGAAAGGGGAGAGGGGAGGAAAATTAACCCCAATTGATCCTAACTGCAGCACTGCATGGTATTAGCTAACTTTACTGAATTCTGATACCGTCCGACTGTCCGAGCCCTGCTCTAACTAGATCCTGCGTCGTGTGGCGCAGGCGCAGGCGCAGCAGCTCAGTCTCAGAACTCAGAACTCAGAGGCAACCTGATGTCATTCAGCAATAAAAAGACAATTTCCTAGGCCCTCCTCAAATTCCGTTGACATAAGTTGATCTTCAATTTAATGAAAAGAAAATCTCTCCCGGTCAATTTTTAATATAGAGAGATATTCTTTATGTATGGCTGCACGATGTGTTTTCAATATGTTTGCACACTACTGCTTTGTTTTTACTGTATGGCTCAGTTTGGAAAAAGTACAGATATGCAGAGTGTAAAACCTAACATTTTGTATTATTTTGGATATATTTGTATTTATATTTCTTTTAAATTAAGTATAAGGCTTAGTTTGAAGAAAGTACAAATTAAATGTAAATATAAATATATATATATATATATAATATAAAGTTTTGCATTCTACATATTTACATTTACACTCCTTCCAAATGGAGCCTAAAACACATTGTTATAGTACTGTGTTAAAACAACAAAATCAAAGTTTTCTATATTGTTATGGCCCTACCTTTCAATTAAAAGTAATGTATTGGTGGGGTTATAGCAATATATCTAAGGTTATGATTCTCGGTTTTAGGCTTTTAGCCCTGTCCTAAGATATGTGTGAGAGCAAAAGTGAACTCTTGGCCAAGGGGTCCATTGCATGGCAAGAGAGCATCTCCTGGCAAAAGTGAGCAGTCCATCACGAGGGTGGAGGACACATGGATGGAAGGAATTGGGATCTCTTCCATCAAACATACCTCACAAGCATGTTTCAGTCACACATTGAGACTGTCTTTTATATTTATATATTATTATTCATGGAAGATGTTTTCAATACATGGTGGGGTGTAGCTGTGAAGTCCATGTAAAGAATACTCTGTGAGAGGCAGATAGGAGCAAATTAGGACTCAGATGGAAGATGGGCATTTATAACACTGTCTCCTTTTTTCTACAAACATCACGTCAGTGGAGAGTTTTGGTTAATTCTACCTACAAAGTCGCTTATTTGGAGCATAAGAAAAATCACGAGATAAAAGATCAAATCCAATATACCAAGTTAATGGGTCGAAGAAATACACTTTTTAGATGTTTTAGTATTAATAGATAAGCTTATTCTTATATTTACTATTTTAATTGGTAAATAGAAATGTAAAATCTTCGTGAAAAGGCACATATAATGTATTATTTTCATATTATATAATTAAATTTAACTTTTATAACCTAGGCATTATGGTTGTACATTAGCAATACAGAGTCTAAATTCTTGGTCTAATCTATTATTATCCATAAAAAAAAAAACTCTTGGTCTAATCTATATAGAGTGAAAGATGCTAGAAAATATTTTCCCTGACTGGCTATAGAATTTGGATCTGGTCTCAATACACGTTCCCAACAGCCAGTCATACATTCGCAACATCTCCCTTGTTCTTGATGGAGAGATATTTCTTATAGCTTCCGTTGTTGTTGGAACCTTGTTTTGGGACCAGATCTGGACTCTGGCCATAGGACTGCTATAGGCTAGTATTTGTCTATTTGGTATTTGGTATGTATATAAACCAAAATATTCTATTCTTACAACTGCTGCTTTAAAGCTTGTTTGAATCATACCAACCCACATTTAAATGTGTTTGAGCCGAAATTATAAGTATAAAAAATAAAGGAGGAAGGGCAAGCTAACATCCTTCTAAACCACTAGAGGATATATGGTTTTAGAAATTCAAGACTGGGTGGGGCCTTTCAAGCAATTAGGAATTAGACCTTTATACATGAATGCCTATACTTGTTAAATGAATGCAGTGGTCATAACAATATATACCCTTAAATTAGACCTTTATACATAATCTGTTAGGAATTTCTCAGGCTTTCTCATTTCACTGATCAACCTAAAAGCTTAAGTTGTTAGATAAGGTCCTTGAATAGATTGATATTCTATTACACACCTTTTCACACAAAAAATCCATTGGGTTTGAAGTGTGAGTAAACACAAGCTCACCCATACCTTGTGCTGAATAATTTAATAGGGTAATGAGGATTGAACTCTAGACCACTTGGTCAAAGTGGCTCTGATACCATCTCAAAGAACCATTCAACCTAAAAGTTTAAGCCATTAGATGAGGTTTTTGAATAGGTTGATATTCTCTGACATAGCCTAAAAGAGGGAATGGTCATTCCCCCCTCTCCTTCAAGAATGAAATCCCATTCTATCTGATTCTAATTCCCATTTGGATTCCTGTCTAAATCAAACAGACTATAAGAATATACCATTGTGATTCTTATTTCAAAAGATTTTGATTCCAATTCCGATTCCTCTCGCTCTAAATCAAACAGTTTTAACTTTTAAGTCTTATAAACTCGATAACTGACCTATAGGGAAAGAGCAAATCCTGGACACTGTCACAATCCATGTAGCATAATTTTGATTTTTGAAAGCCATCCTTTCATAAATAGGATACTTTGAATCATTGAAAGAGTCCGCTTTAAACTCTAAAGTAGAGAGAATATAACTAGTGAAAGTAAATAAAGCAAGGGCATTGCAAGTCTTGGAGTTCACATTCACAGACCGTCTCTGTAGTTTGTACACACAAATTAGAGGATGAGGACCCACCATTTCATAGAATCATCACAACCAAAACCCAACCAACTAGTTTGATCTTTATCACTTTTGGGGCTGTAAATGAAAGTCCAGTTCATGTGTTAAAGAAAGTCCCAGAACCAACTCACCATCATCTTCTTCTGATTGATAAATGCTTGTTTTGTGGGTCTCCATCAACCCCAATGGAACCCATTCTACAAATAGCACAGATTGTTCTCTCCAGGACATGTGTCTGCACAATTTTCTCATGTTGCCCTTTTTGGTAGAACTCAAATCAAAGTGAAGGCTGCCTGAGTGAGGAAGGTTTAGCTGAAAGATAAAATTTTATGTCAGTATTAAATATATGGGGTTTCTATCTTTTACAGTGGGGCTCGTAAATTAATAATACTGGTGTAAAACCTCGTCATTGTTCCACAGCTAAAGCATTAATCCTAATTCGATACAGAGGGCTGTAATTAGGGTGATGAATTTGATGGTGTCTGGATCTCCTATACATTGATCCCTGTGTAAATCAAATAAAAGGATGCCATGTCGGGACTGTAACATGGACGAACTTTGTATATGCGAGGTTCCAAACGTCCTCCCATTCCATTTTTTTTCTTACTAAAATTTACATTAAAATTTTCTCTTCCTCTTTTGCTGAAAGCTTTTTTCTCAACGAATGGACATGAGACAAATCAATGGAAAACAGCATGCCTGAACATCGCACACCATTGATCTAGAATGGAATGTTTGAGATATATGAAATATACACCAATAAACTTCTTTCATTCGAAGCTTTCTGTAAGGAACTTCCTTGAACATATCTGGAGCGAACCAATGGAAAAACTACATACTT